ATTTTCTGTAATTAGTAGTGCGCACTACTATTTTTACAACCCCCTCCTGCCTGCACTACTATTATAGACTGTATTACTATTACAGAAAATCCGATATATAAATTCTGCTAGTATCCAAGCAATGAAGGGTAATGATTTCAATAAGCTTACCTTGAAAACTGTAAAATAGTGATCAACTCGACTCTTGGTGGCTACTATTAGAAAAATTTGGCGATTCGAGTACTTTTAGATCTTTTCAGACTCAGTTTTTGTTAGTTTTCAATATATAATTTCTGCTAGTATCCAAGCAATGAAGTGCAATGATTTAAATAAGCTCGTTTTCTATTTGATTTCAAGCTCATCTTCCATTTGATTTCAATAGGTTCGTCTTCTATTTGATTTAAACAAGCTCTTCTTCCATTTGATTTCAATAGGCTCGTCTTCTATTTGATTTCAAGCTCTTCTTCCATTTGATTTCAATAAGCTCGTCTTCCATTTGATTTAAACAAGCTCTTCTTCCATTTCATTTCAATAAGCTCTTCTTCCATTTGATTTAAACAAGCTCTTCTTCCATTTCATTTCAATAAGCTCGTCTTCCATTTCATTTTGTACTAAATATCCTGTATTTGCATGAGGAACCACAGTAGTAAAGCGTTATTCATAAACTTTCGTTCTTTTTCAAAAATCTGTGGCTGTTGTTCGCTTAAAATCGCCCCAGCTACAGTAATATTCGAATAAAAGACTTAGATCTTCTATTTTTCAATCTTATTTCCTTTTACTTATCTTATATACCAATTTTCCTTTAAGTTATCCAAAAAAAATGAATTTTGTGTGAATAATTTCTCTTTACGCTGAAACAAAACCTTTTTGAGTCGCCGGTTTTGTTGACTGAATATCAAATATCTTTTATTCCTTTGGATATCTTTTTTCCTCTAGAATTTGGAGGACAAATAGCCTTTTTCTTTCCTCTCATGGGACTCATTTTTCTCTCAACAATAACCACAAAAGATACTCACAAAAAAAAAATCAGAGTTTTTTAATCTTTAAAATAATAAAACTTTAGATAAACTCTTTCAATAAAGCTTTTGAAATTGAAAGCTTTTGAATCTGTTGCTGTTGCTGTTGCTGTTGAATCTCTTGCCTTTGGATCTGTTGCTTTTGGATCTGTTGCTTTTGGATCTCTTGCTTTTGGATATGTTTATCTGGAAGGTAAACCAGATTCAGAACTGGTTGATCCTTCTCTGATGTTTCTTGTTAGTTAGATGAGGCCAACTTTGACTTTGACTAGGTCAAGCTTGACTTTGACTCGACCAAGCTTGACTTTGACTAGGTGAAGCTTGACTTTGACTAGGTGAAGCTTGACTTTGACTAGGTGAAGCTTGACTTTGACTGAAGAAAATTGACTTTGACTAGGTCAAGCTTGACTTTGACTCACCAAGCTTGACTTTGCGTGAGCTTGACTTGACTAGTGAAGCTTGACTTTGACTAGGTGAAGCTTGACTTTGACTAGGTTAAGCTTTTCTTTCGTGGAGTTTATGGACTCCCAAACACAGCTAGTCAAAATGGCAAAGAGTCCGACTCATCATTTGAACAGTTTCTTTCACATAAACCTTCTTTGGTGTTTATATAAAAAAGATAGAGCACATTCAATTACTTAAGTTGCCAAATTTGCAGGAAGATCCCACCAATGGTTTTTTCTAGATCACAGTTTGTAGTTTTTGTGAAAAAATGGCTTTTTCTTGAGCGGAGGCGCTGTTTGAATTTTCTTTTAAATGTGATTTTGTAGAGAATTAGTTAACCATTCTACTCATATCAAACGCATATTATTTCACGAAGTCGAATTGAAGTTTTAGACATTTTTTTGATTTTCGGCGCCGAGTCATAGTCCCCAACCCAATAATTCCTGTTTAGCTGAGATCTACCAAATTACTTATTTTCTCATTTTCTCATTTTCTCATTTTCAATTTCCTTTCAACAACCACTTGAGTAGATTGTTTTTCTCTTCAAAAAAAAAAGCTTTCCACAGAATAATTGGTTGTGGGTGGGAAAAGAAAGAGATTTTGTCTCTTGTCTTCTCCTTGAATCACATCTAATTAACAATTTAAGACATTATTTTTCAGGTTTTAAAATAAATTTAAATCAAAGGGTTTTGTTAGGGTTAATTGAGGTAAAATAAGGACAAAATTCATGAAACTGGCCTCTTTTTAACTGGGATTTTCTTTTCTAAAGTTTTTAGTTTCTTTCTTTCTTGTTTTCTTTCTATCTTGGTTCCCCTTGCTTGCTTGCTTGCTTGCTTGCTTGCTTGCTTCCTTTCTTTCTTTCTTGCTTGCTTGCTTCCTTTTTTTCTTTCTACAAGAAGATGCAAGTTGTTATAGAAGTTGTTATCTAGTTCAAAGGCTTTTTCCTAAAATTTTATTGTAATTTTGACTCTTGATCTATAGAAAACATGGACACGCTTCAAAAATACTCCAAATTTTTGAGGTTTTTCCAAATTCCAAAGCTATTGAAGTTTTATTTCTTTTACTTTTGAGGGGTTGGGTTGGGAATGCCAGAGCTGAGTCAACAGAAAGAAGAGAGGGAAATGGAGAGGGAAAAAGATGGCTGACCGCCTCTCTTCACTCCCTGGATAGTTCCCCATCGAGTTCCCCCGTCCAATACCGATCTCAATAATTGTATGCCCTTCACCCTTTTCACACAAACACAATCAATTATTCCCCATTGATTCTTTGATGTTTAATCTAGTCTCAAAGCCATTTCAATTCTCAAACTTTCAATTCTCTGAGTCTATTCTGACAACAATCGATTCAATGATTCAAATATTTGCTTCACAAACGCACGCTACCTGTGGCAGTGATCTTATTTTTAGTCTCTCCATGTTCTTTATAGTGAACTTTATGCTAAAAAATCTAAACCCACCCTTTCCAATTCAATCAATTCTTCATTTCTCTTGCATTTTCTTCATTTTTCTTCCTTTTTCTTCATTTTTTTCTTCAAAACATTGAATTTTCGAGAAAACTGAAGAATTCAGTGCACCAGAAAGTGTTTGTTTAGAGTAGAACTGTTCACAAAGAACACAGAAAAATGTTAAAAAGCCAACTTTCCTTTAAAGGACCCACTTAAAAGGTCTATAACTCAAAAAGTAAAAGCTGAATTAACTTCTGGTTACCTTCATTAGAATCTACATTAAATTTCACTGAGGAAATATAGAATCTGTTTTGTTGACTTACCGATAAAAACATAAAGAAAAGTTAGTGTCAAAGTTCTATTGCATTTTCTATTTCATTTCTATTTCTTTTCCATTTCCTTTTCCATTTTCCCTTTTCCATTCCATTTGCTTACTCATTTCAATCTATTATTTGTCAAGCATTCCCTCCATTTTCAACGTTTCCATAGAAACTCAATGCCCAAAAGAAAAGAAAAGCTATTCAGCTCATAAAAAAGGAGGATTTTAGCAAGCTTTTGGTTTACTTTATGCTATAAAATGTGGATTCTAGTTGGTAGATTCAAAAAATGAATTTCTCTAATCGATTCCCTGACCCCGAATCGATTCCCTGAAATTTCTAGCTAAATCTCTTTTTTGTACCATCTACAAAGCAAGAAAAATCTCTGATGGCCAATTGTTCTTTGTGCGCGAGCACAATCGCTCGCGATCTGGCAACCCCGCCCGGCATATGGTCTTTCCTTTTTCGAACCTGTAAAGAACGAGGAGCGATAAGCGACTGGACCGTCGTCACCATTTTCACTGTGACTATGCCCAAATTTTTGAGATCGGTTTTCCCCTAGATTTTCCTCTATTTTCCTCTATTTTTACTACGATTTCTGCATCTTAATAGCTGATATCGGCAGCTTAATAGCTTAATAGCTGGTGTTCGAATCGGCAAATGGGAAGGAACGGTCAGCGACTGATCGTTTTCCCGCTTTTTAGTATCATATGTAGTATCATTATTCCCGAATTCTTGTGCCCAAGTTTTTTCTTTATTTTAAATGTATTTTGGCTATAAATTCTGCATCTTTTCAAGCCATTGTTTCACTTAAACATCAGCTAAAAGAAACTGCAATCTAATTGTGAATTGTTTCTCTTGATTTCCTGAAATTTTCTTCAAAAAGAAACTTTATTTCCTTTTTTGTAGACTTTAAACATCCCGTTCTCCGCGATGCTTTATGCTACGATGCGCGCTTTGGTATCAAAGAATAGCCCTGAATTTCAGCTATTTTTTGATACCTAAGCGCTCATTGTAGCATAAACCAGTCGAGAGAAAAACGCGTTCAAAGCTAGACTACGCAAAAATCCACACCGTCATTATGGGGGCGGGGTACTATTACAGTATTTACGGTAAGCTATTTATTCCATAATTTCTGGCAGCCTCTGGAATCAGAAAAATAAAATACCGTAAATACTTTAATAGAACGCCATCCCCATAATGACGGGCGTACAATCGCATAGTCTACCTTTGAACGTCCCGTTCTCGGCGCTGGTTTATGCTAAAGTATTCGTTTCGGTGTCAAAAGATAGCCCTTAAATAGCCCTGAATTTCAGCTATTTTATGTAGAAAATTTTGAAATCGTACAACTCTAGTTTCTTTTTTAAATCGTAAAATTCCCATTTTAAATCCCCAAAATTTACATTTCTATATTAAAAAAACATTCAGCTTTTCAAATAAAAGATTCAATTTTCGAATTTCCATTCAATTTTCCATTTTTATGACGTTTTCAAAAGAAAAAATTAAAAGTTTTTCCTATTTTTTCATATTAAATTTCATTCAGAAACCAAAAATTTCTGTTTTTTTTTCGTAAAATAACTAATATTTCAATTTTGTGATTCATTTTATTTAATTTTTTTTCATTTTATTGACATTTCTTCTTTAATACGAGAAAGTTTCCGATTAGTGAAAGAATTGAGAAAACATTTTCATTTTTTTCGTATTTTCTTCTTTTTTTAAAGAAAGATTATTTTAGAAAATCGATTTTTAAGAAATATTTTGCTTTTGAAATATTTCTAGTCAAAGATTTTACCCAAATCAATGATGAAATTCTCGATCTTTCAGAGAAAAGAGGTAAAGATACAGTTCTTTTCACTTATCTACCGTAAATACTGTAATAGTACCGCAACCTCATAATGACGGTGCGGAGTTTTGCGTAGTCTAGCTTTGAACGAGTTTTTCTCGACACTGGTTTATGATACAATGCGCGCTTAGGTATCAAAAAATAGCTGAAATTCAGAGCTATTTTTGATACCAAAGCGCGCATCGTAGCATAAAGCAGCGCGGAGAACGGGATGTTTAAAGTTAGACTACGCAACAATCCCGAAAAACCGCGTTTTTTCTCTCGACTGGTTTATGCTACAATGCGCATTTAGGTATCAAAAAATAGCCCTCAATTTCAGCTATTTTTGATACCAAAGACGCATTTTTTGAAAGCACAGGAGCTTTGGAAAAATGAAATACTAAAAAAGCTTTTGCGACTACGAGTTCTTTTTCACTTCCCTAACCAATTTCATACAAAAATAAAAATAAAAGTTTAAAAATTTACTTAAACTAGCAGTGAATACAGTGAATTTGTTGATTTTCTGCTGATTTGTTGAACTTTCAGCGTCCCTCACCAGCTCCACCAGCCACTCTTCCAAAAGGAAACATTCAGCATTTAATCAACTCTGATTCCGAGGATGAAGAGGTCAAAGATTTTTAATTAAACATTTCTAATGGAGGCTTTTACTTTAAATTATGACTTGAAAATAGAAATATAGGAAATATAGGGAAATTTCTAAAGAAAAACTCTTCAATGATTAATTTTTGTTGATTTTTGCTGACTTGTTGAGCTTTCAGCGTCCCTCACCAGCTCCACCAGCCTGGTGAGGGACGCTGAAAATCAAACGTCAATTTTTAGGTAATCTTCACAAAAAGTATGGTGCAACGATTGAAGGGAAAAATTCGAGATCAAGAAGGAGGTGCAGGTGAGAGAATTGAGAAGTTTCATTGGCTAAGAATAATTGAAAGTGTTTATTTGTTTATGGGGTGGCTGTCTATAGAATTAGAGATCCGGGTTCGATCCCGTCCGATTCATGGCCCAGATTTGACTATCCAGCCGCCAGAACAAGCTATCTAGAGATCATCCAATAAGTGTAGGGATCCGCGGAGAATCAAGGCATGGGTTAAGTTAAGAAATAGCCTAGTATTGTGTGTGTCGAATTGTGATTATCGTTAATAAACCACGGAGTCCCCGGTGGACAAAGTTGGACTTGGTGACAAAATCACCTGGACAACAACTGGAAAAGTAGTTTTCGCAGACTTAATCTATTTCAAAGTGTCAAGTGTTATATAGAGAATTAAAGCCCTGAATCTTGGCTACATTTATCTATTAAAAGCTTGTCAATCGGATGTATACAGCTTATTTAACAAGTCTTTGAACGAGCACTAGTTGATTCCTACGCGCTGCCACTTCTAGTAAAGTAGTTATCGCACGCTTAATCTATTTCAAAATCTCAAGTGTTATATAGAGAATTGTAGCCCTGAATCTTGGCTACATTTATCTACCAAAAACTTCTCGATTAGACTTATCCAACTCATTTTACAAGCGCTTGAATAAGCACTTATCGATCCCAATCGATCGCTGCCATTTCTGTTTAGCAAAGCAGTTTTCACAGGCTTAATTTATTTCAAAGTGTCAAGTGTTATATAGAGAATTAAAGCCCTAAATCTTAGCTACACTTATCTACTAAAAACTTCCCAATCAGATGCATGCAGCTTATTTAACAAGTCTTTGAACGAGCACGATCTCGATTTTTTGGCAATTTTCTCTACAAAACACTTGACATTTTGAAATAAATTAAGCTTGCGATAACTACTTTTTTAGTTGTCCAGATCATTTTGTCTAACCCTATCTTTATGAGCTATAACGATTTATTGAGGATCTCTTTCAGATTCAGCCTCTACATCGGACCGACCCAACTCAACGGGTTCAAAGACTCCGACACGGAGTCCATCAAGAAGTTCATCGAGAAATCGAGAAAGACCAGATAGTGTACAAATAAGAAGACCGATGGGGATAAATGGGAAAGAAGCAAGGAGCAAGGTGGGCAAGATAAGGGATTAGTTAGTTAGAAATCTCGACAAACTCACGATTCCATTCTGAACCTAATTCCAGCTTCGTTTTCTCGACCATTTCTTGGCCGATTCCTCTGAAATTTTGTCTACAAGCTGAAAATTTCAATTTCTATCTGTAGAGAAAATTTCAGAGGAATCGGCCAAGAGACGGCTGAGAAAATGAAAGTGGAATTAGGTTCAGGTTGAAATTTTCGCATTTCTAGTAGATCCCGTAGATCGATCAGGGTCAATAAATCAAATTGAAAGTCATTAAAAAGAAATAATTAACTCTGAAGTTGTTTTCTTTTGACTTTCTCTAAAATCTAAAAAAAACTAACGTAATCTTTGCTTAAACTTTTATAATGTATCTGTTAGGTTCGATCTAGACTGATTCTAGATTCGACGTCCAATCTAGAATCAAGGCTTGCGCCAAAGTTGAATATTTTGCCTTTTAACCAATAAAGCAGACGTAATTACGGAGCGTCGCGTTTGCGCACAGACAGACGGACAGACGAACGTCTCTTCTGCTTTATAGATGTTACGTCCAATCTATAAATCCGTTCGATCTGATTCTGAATCGGACATCTGATCTAGAGTGAAGTAAGGTCAAACGTCCGATCTAGATTCAAACCGATCACTCTAAATCTAAGTCTGGATCGGATGTCTGGATCGGATGTCTGGATCGGACGTCTGGATCGGACGTCTGGATCGGATGTCTGGATCGGACGTCTGGATCGGATGTCTGGATCGGATGTCTGGATCGGATGTCTGGATCGGATGTCTGGATCGGATGTCTGGATCGGATGTCTGGATCGGACATCTGGATCGGATGTCTGGATCGGATGTCTGGATCGGACATCTGGATCGGATGTCTGGATCGGATGTCTGGATCGGATGTCTGGATCGGATGTCTGGATCGGATGTCTGGATCGGATGTCTGGATCGGATGTCTGGATCGGACATCTGGATCGGATGTCTGGATCGGATGTCTGGATCGGATGTCTGGATCGGATGTCTGGATCGGACGTCTGGATCGGACGTCTGGATTGGATGTCTGAATCGAACGTCTGGATCGAACGTCTAATCTAGAGTGATCTAGATTCAAGCCGATCACTCTAAATCTAAGTCTGCTTTCGGACGTCTGATTTAGAGTGATCTAGACTGATTCTAGATAGCACCTTTGACCTCACTTCACTCTAGATCAGACGTCCGATCCAGACTTAGATTTAAAGTGATCAGCTTGATTCTAGATCGGACGTCTGATCTAGAATCAGTCCAGATCGTAACATATCTACTCTTGGTCTGATTCTATTAGATTTCACAAAGATTTTCAAAAGATATTGAAGAATCTGAAGAAAGATTACAATAGTGATGACACGTTTTAGAAAATCTTTCTATTTTGTGTCTATTTTGTCAAATAAACATATTTTCAGACACCAGATCTTGACTCGAAGAGTGTTAAATCAGCAGACAGTGGTACTCAATCATTACCGGATGGAGATCGACCATTAACCCCTAGGTAGTTGTAGAGTTGTAGATAGCTGAATCTTCCCTAATCCTATCTTTTCCATCTTCCCGAGTTGTTTTCTTGATTTCTTTTTTCTTTCCTGATTCACAGAGTCTTCCCCAATCGGGTTTTCAGCACAATTTGCACAGAAATTTTACTTTAAATGATGAAATTTTGATATTTTTGATATTTTTTTGTGTTTTTGTGTGTGCTTTTGAATAAAAGATTATTTTTTTAAAAAGATTTTTATGTATAGAACACGAGATCGGGTTCTACGAGAGATCGCTGGTGTGGATATCGGTGATGGAAAGGTTTGAGAATTGAAAGGACACGAGTCACGAGTAGCCCAGCTACCGTAATCTCAACCTAAACATTAATAAACTTAGAGTTAGAGTAATGTAAACTAATATAAAAGTAGAAACTAGATGTATCGAGTCTTTGCACTGGAGCTATGGTTCAAATTTTGTGATCAAAACAAGGCATGGCTACTACAAACTACAAAAACGAACTGCCACACTTCTAACGCCTCTAACTTGCATTAAATCTACGGGATTGATATGATCTATAGCTCAAAAGATAGAGAATCTCAAGAGCTTTCAAATGAACTCAAAGTATACTGAAAAATATCAATTCTAAAGAAAGTTACAGTGGCTTAATCGCTTCGACTACGCGCGAGTACGGTTCGTTTTGAGGCAAAGCTATTAGCCAGTGTAACTTTCTTTAGAATTGATATCTTTCAGTATACTTTAGTTCATTTGAAAGCTCTTGAGATTCTCTATCTTTTGAGCTATAGATCATATTAATCCGGTAGATTTAATGCAAGTTAGAGGCGTTTGTAGTGTCATTTTTGTAGTTTCTATTGTCTATGTCTATCTAGACCATATCTAGACTAATTTCAATTTTTAAAACGAACGTTTATACCTATCATAGATTATTAAATTTTTATTTTCAAATTTTGATGGTTTTATGGCTTTGGCTCTGGCTCTGGCTAAGAGCCAGAGCCAGAGCCAGAGCTTTGAGCCAGGCTCTTAGCCTGAGCCAGAGCCAGAGCCAGGCTTTGGCTCTTATAAGATCTCTGGCTCTGGCTAAGAGCCAGAGCCAGAGATCTTATACTTTCAGACAGTTTGTTATCCAGATTGGCTAGCTTTTCGAGATTCGGTTAAATTCTTTCAATCTCCAGAGTTACTAGATATCTACAGTGCTGGACAATGAAGTATCATATTAGGTTGATGCAAAAGTCTTTTTCATTTTTTTCGTACTTCTTTTGAAAAATAACAAAGTCATCAATTAACCTATGGTTTGCTCTAAATGAAAAGTGTTTATTGTTGAATTTCCCATCTTTTTAAGTCAATTTGGGTTCACTTTCAAGCTCAAGGGCCAAAACTGAAAACGGATTCAGAGTCAGCGTAGTCGATTCTAAGAAGATACTGTAGTCACTGTAATCCAGCTGTTTTTTCAAATTAAAACAAATGAGCGAGCCTGTTTTTGAGGTGACTTAATGCCATTTTTTTCACCAAAGCTAAGGATTACGATAGATTTTTCTGGGAAGCATCTTTTAGCAAAAGAATACTGTGGCTTATCCAATGAATTCGTTCAGTTCCCAATGCTCATTCATCTCACCGTTTTCGTCATCTCAATTTCTCATTCGAGAGTGAAAACGGGTTTTTCATAAAAATCTATAAAAACCTCTATAAAGAAATTGGCTGAATCAATTTCTCTGAAAATCTGAAAAAATATCTAGCTTTTTGTGCTCTATCTTTTATTTATTAACATCAAGATTGGTTTCCTTAGCTAAAGCGTCTAAAATGCATCATCGAGCCGTCGCCTTTTTTGACTACCCGACTTCAGGCTCTCAAAAAAATCTAGACATAAGACATTTGAAACTCGTTTTAATGTCATTTTGCAGAAAAATAATTGGCCTTTCGAATGCAATAAACCGTTGTTCAATTGGTGCATTTGTTACTTTTTAACGGAAGTACGAAAAAAATGAAAAAGACTTTTGCATCAACCTAATATTTGAAAAACGATCGTCACTTTCGCGCGTCTGTAACTCCTTTGTCTTTACCGTGTTTCTAAATATTAATATTACCATTGTGTAGTCCTTGAAAAGAGCTTTCAGAAATTGTATAACACTAATAGTTTAAACTCAAAGACAACGGAGTTACAGACGCGCGAAAGTAACGATCGTTTTTCAAGTGATGATCGTTTTTCAAATATCATATTTGTCATTGTCCAGTACTGTAATTTGTGCTCAAGAATTGGGAACACTTCTTTCGATGATATAATATTGTCCTCATGCATTAAAGGGTTGCTCCCCCAGAAAGATTTGCCAAAAAATTTCATTCATAATCGGCTACGACATATAGTACTGGACAATGAAATATGATATTTGAAAAACGAGCATCAGAAACGAGCACTTTCGCGTGTCTGTAACTCCTTGTCTGGAACTATTGTGATATAAAAAAGATCACTTGAAAAACGATTTCATCTGTAACTCCCTTGTCTTTGAGTTTAAACTATTAGTGTTATACATTTTCTGAAAGCTCTTTTCAAGGGCTACACAATGGTAATATGAATATTTAGAAATACGATAAAGACAAGGGAGTTACAGACGCGCGAAAGTGACGATCGTTTTTCAAATATGATCCTTCATTGTCCAGTACTGTAGATCCTGTAACCAGTAGCAATTAGGTTTATCAAAATATCCTTTGAAATCAATTTTTAGATCGGCAATGATCGAAAGAAATACTATTTCCGTCGATCGATGAATGTCTATCACAACACGTTGAGAATATTGGAGAGTCGAAAAGAGGAATGTTTATACAAAGAACAGTGAGTGAAGAGTATAAAGAACAGAAATGGTAATGGAAAGATTTGAGTCCGAGTACTGTGGAAAGAGACTGGAAAAGAGTGTTTATTGACTTGATTGACGATGAAAGATAAAAAGAGACAAAGAAAAGGATTGAAATCTAATCATTTGAGTAAAATTTTTCTAAATCCCTTCAGGTAAAGGATATCCAAAAAGTAAAAAATCATAAAAATACATTGAAATCACTTTTTCTAATAGTTTTCTATCGTTTAGTAGCAGATTTTTGTAGTCGATTTCTTCAGTTTTACCGTGATTTCTCGTTGTGTAGTCCATAATGGAAAGAGACTGGAAAAGAGTGATTATTTACATTGGTTGACGATGAAAGATAAAAAGAGACAAAGAAAAGGACTGATTGACTAAGCTAACTTCAAGTCTTTTATCTATAAAATATCTATATCTATTTATCTATCTATCTATATCTCAAAATGAAATTTTGAGCAGCTCAATCCCGGCTAGAGTTGCCTGAATTTGTGAAGGAATAGAGCCAATTTAACATTAAAGATTGTTCCCAAAAATTTGAGCATAGTGACGCCTAGAGATGGAAATCTTAACCCTGCACCGCTGCTTTACCGCTGCTTTGCGAATGCCAAAATGTAAACCCCTTATGCTAGGCAGATTTGCCAGGTCGCGAGCGATTGTGCGCGTGCACAAAGAACATTTCGGCATGGATCTCTCTTGCTTTGCAGCTGAATGATAGCTGAAAGATATAGCTGAAGGATAGCTAAAAGATAGCTGAAAGATAGCTGAAAGATAGCTGAAAGTTAGCTGAAAGATTAGCTGTAAATTTGTCTCCGGGGTTTCACAGGGTCAGGGAATTGATTGGAGACATTCATTTCTACTCGTATAACTAGTAAAAGCTACTTCCCTTAATTTCAACTCGATCAAACCTTTTTTGTAATCTCTTTCGAAATCCCAGCTTCAAGAAAGATTGCTTCCCATTGTTCTCGGAGATTTTTCTCGTAATTGATAACTCGATATTCATTTAGATGTTTATGAAACTCACAATCCCTAAAAAACGACTCGTTTCTCATGTAATTTATGCTGTAAACACACCCTTTCCAGCACGCTAATTCTTCAATATTCTCTCGACACAAAGGCTACGAAAACTTAAGTACTGAAGTACCCTAGAAAGCTTGTGTTTACATTTTTGAGCTCAGAGCTTGTATAGCTTGCTTGTATAGCTGCTCAGCTTGGATAGCTTGCTTGTATAGCTCAGAGCTTAGCTTGTATAGGTTGCTTGTATAGCTCAGAGCTTAGCTTGTATAGCTTGCTTGTATAGCTCAGAGCTTAGCTTGTATAGCTGCTTGTATAGCTCAGAGCTCAGCTTGGATAGCTTGCTCAGAGCTCAGAGCTCAGCTTGTACACTCGATTCTCACCATGATTGCGGTTTCATATGATCTCGCACATAAAAACCCGGGAATTGCACTTCTCCCTCAAATTCTTGACCAGTTCTGAAATCTTTGATTTGTCTAAATCTTTGATTTGTCTAAATCTATTGATTTGTCTAACTGCAAACACAATCTTTCTAGTGTTATCTTTCCTTTTATTTAAGTATAAATGTCTAATCTTTCACAAGAGCAAACCTTAACATCAAATCAAATTGCTCAACCATTCTTGTGAAATTCTTTGCATGAATGCCACAAGATTTCGCAAAACTGAAAGAAATCTTTATTAGAACAAGATTTCTGTTAAATCAAGACTTACAAGCAAAGATATTTGTAGATTGAGATAAAACGATTGATCGGTGATCGAATGACGACAAAGTTCATCAGATTTTGATTGTAGTGAAATACTTTGTGATGATGACAATGAGATCTAAAAACACAATCTAAAGACAATGAGATCTAGATCGATTGTTGGGGGTTTTAGTTTGAACTTGCAAAAGAAGAGTGTTCGAAGCCGGGATTCGAACTGTGAAACGTGATCTCTCAGGCCGTGATCGAACGTGATCTCTCAGGCGAAGGCTGTACCAATGAGCTACGACTTGTTTTTCTTTACACCACAATAAGGTTATGGCTTAGTCCACAAACAATCCTTGGAAGCCTATGAAACTGGCTTTTGCCCGGATTTAAGCTCAGGCTTAGGCTTAGTCAGGCTTAGGCTTGGTCAGGCTTAGGCTTAGCCTTACCTACCCTGAATTTCTTTGATCTTACCTAGATCTGCAGCTAGCTTTTGAAGCTGGCTTTGACCTAGCTTTGACCTAGCTTTGACCTAGCTTTGATCTTATTGTTAGCTGCTGTATACAGATGAGCTCAGTCTTGGCTACCCTGGCTAAATTAGACTCTGGAGCCTGCTCCCTGACTCCAACTGATTACTGTAATAGAGTAGAATGAATGGCAAATGATTTGGAATTGAGGGGAATTGAACTCTTCTTACCGGGCAGATGCCATTGAGCTATTGACGCTTTCTTTGCCCAAGAAGAAATAGGAAAGAAAGGAAGAGAAAGAAAGGAAGAGAAAGAGAGAAAGAAAGTGACCCAATCCTCTTCTACAAGCACTCTTTACATCAATTGCTCTTCATTTCTGATCGCTGTTTGATTTGAGAGAAGTCGATCGAGATTGCACATAATCATTTGTCCCATTGTGCTCATGCTTTTTAGAATGAGACATGATTGAAGTTTCGTCTCTTGAGGTTGCTAAATGTGTTTTTGTACTTTATCAAAACGTAAACAACGTAAACAACGTTTTTTTTCTGGTGTACTAGAAAGAGTTCGTTTCCATTTACAGTACACCAACCACGTAGACTGATGCTCGATCAACAAAAGCCGGGAAAACAGGATGGATTTCTCGAAATTCTTTGAATCGTTGTTGTTCGGTTTTGTTGAATTTATGGAGATATTTTGGGATGAATTGATTGAAAGTCCATTGTTCATATTCGCATTCATTGAGGGTTTCGTTCCTTAAAAGAATTTTCATTTAAAATTGTTGGCACGATTGTTGGCACGTAATTTTAGAAAAAACAAATGCTTAACCAGTCACTGTGCTAAGAGCTAAGTTCTAATTGATAAGCTCAATAAAATGGTTATCTCCAATCGATTCCCCGACCACGAAAATCCCCAGGTACAAATTTACAGCTCAATATCTGCTATCTACAAAGCAAAAGAGAAATCCTTGTGTAAATGACTGGCGAGGTGTTCATTGTGCGGCCATGTAATCGCTCGCGACCTGGTAAACCCGTTTCGTCTAAGGTGTTTCTCTCTTGAAATCTTGAAATCCGAAAGGGGAAGGAGTGGTGATCGACTGAGCTCCCGCCGCCCGGTGAGCCACTGAGCTCCCGCCGCCCGGTGAGCCACTGAGCTCCCGCCGCCCGGTGAGCGACTGAGCTCCCACCGCCCGGTGAGCGACTGAGCTCCCACCGCCCGGTGAGCGACTGAGCTCCCACCGCCCGGTGAGCGACTGAGCTCCCGCCGCCCGGTGAGCGACTGAGCTCCCGCCGCCCGGTGAGCGACTGAGCTCCCGCCGCCCGGTGAGCCACTGAGCTCCCGCCGCCCGATTTCCGAGGACAATTTCAATCCCGCAACTCCATCAAGACCGCGCTCAATCAAATATTACCATAAATACTGTAATAGTACCCCACCGCCATAATGAGTTGCGGAGCGTTGCGTAGTCTAGCTTTGAACGAGTTTTTCTCGACACTGGTTTATGCTACAATGCGCGCTTAGGTATCAAAAAATAGCTGAAATTAAGGGCTATTTTTTGAAAGTACGGGTGCTTTGCAAATGAAATATTAAAAAAACTTTTGCGACTACGCGACTGTACGAGGGGGTGGGGTACTATTTTACAGTATTTACGGTAATACAATCGTTTAAAATCTATCCGATCGTTTACAATATATTCCAAGTCCAATATCAAATCAAAAATCAAAAAAATAACTTAAACATTGACAAAAATCTAGTACTATATTATAGAAAGAAGCTAAAAACTTACAATTTCTCATTGTCGATTGTATACAAACAACTTTCCATCATATCAGCTTCTTTTCGATAGAGAGGAAACGTTTTTCGGTCAAGAATCGAAATCTTTTTGACAGGAATCGAATTATAATGACTATATTGACTGTATTGATTCATTTTCCAATATAAAAACAATAAAATATTGAATAGGGAAATTGAAAGCGATAGGGAAAAAAGGATTTTCGTTTTTCGATCGATCATAATATAATAGAGAAGAAATTTTATTGAAAATTTTCATAATAATATGCACGTGGTGATTTGAAATTTATACAATTCTAGAACATCAATTTTATAAATTGAAAACTGGAGAGCTACGTAGATTTATTTCAGAGCAATTTCTATGAACTTTCTAGTTCTGTGCTTGTGCTTTCTAGTGCAATCAATTCTTCATTTTCAATGGAATCAATTGATTGACTGATTTCAATTGACTACCCCAGAAAGAAGTGTTCCCAATTCTTGAGCACAAAGTACAGTACTGGACAATGACAAATATGATATTTGAAAAACGATCATCACTTGAAAAGTGATCGTCACTTGAAAAACGATCGTCACTTTCGCGTGTCTGTAACTCCCTTGTCTTTGAGTTTAAACTATTAGTGTTATACATTTTCTGAAAGCTCTTTTCAAGGGCTACACAATGGTAATATTAATATTTAGAAATACGATAAAGACAAGGGAGTTACAGACGCGCGAAAGTGACGATCTTTTTTCAGGTGATGATCGTTTTTCAAATATCATATTTCATTGTCCAGTAGTGTATCACCGTTTCCGAATACTAATTGACTTCCGAGATCTTTTTAAAGCATACATAGTATTAAAAGCAATCAATCCTCACTTATAATGCCAGATTTTGAAGGTTTCTTTTTACAAATACGATCACTTTTCTTTACATAACACTAACCTTAGCAAAAAAATAGACAAATGGTTAATCAGAGTTGGTAGGAAAGTGTGTTGAAAAGCGCAAATTTGGCTCAAATGATACAGTACTGGACAATGACAAATATGATATTTGAAAAACGATCGTCACTTGAAAAACGATCGTCACTTTCGCGCGTCTGTAACTCCGTTGTCTTTGAGTTTAAACCATTCGTGTTATACATTTTCTGAAAGCTCTTTTCAAGGGCTACACAATGGTAATATTAATATTTAGAAATACGGTAAAGACAAGGGAGTTACAGACGCGCGAAAGTGACGATCTTTTTTTCAATTTCATTGTCCAGTAGTGTACATCATTGTCATTGTCCAGCTTTCCTTAAAGCTTAAGTCTTTCTAAATCCCGGTTGGTAATGGGTAACCAAAAAGAAGAAAATCATAAAAATACATTGATACAACTTTTCTTAAGAGTTCAGTGTTTCCTAGTAGCACTTTTTTATAATCAATTTCTTGACGAGTTCCGCGATTTGCTGTCGTGTAGTTCATTGTGGAGAGAGCCTGAAATTGGTTAGATTTGTCAGATTTTTTTCTTTCAAGCAATTCACCAGCAATCCGGGCTGCATATCCTTTAGTTTTGGCTGAGAAAAAAAAACTGATCGCCGCTGGGATTCGAACTCGCGACCTCCCAGCAACCTCTCGCTTACCAGGTGAACGCTCTACCAATGAGCTACACCGACAAGTGTCCCCTGCAGCCAATTTATGCTTTAGTTCTAGTCTCCCTGCTGCTTTACAGCCAGTCAGGCTAGTCCATTTCCCAAGTAAAGCGTTCTATATAGTGTGTTCGTAACTAACGTAACATAACGTAACAAATAAAATGTTCTATATAGCATTCGTAACTCAAGTCTGAAAGTCTGGCTTTGATCCGTCCTTTCTCTTGTCTAACTACAGTCTTCTGGCATGCCAATTTCCAGCAAGATGCTGTTGCATTCCAGCATCTTGCTATCTTCTTCCTAAAAATCCTATCTACTGATATGACAATGTTTTCCCCATCCTGCGACTGATATCAGAATTGCATAAGAGAAGAATTTGACTGTATCGCTTGCTGTAGGCAAGCTTAATTGTAAGTTAGGCTTTAAGTAAAAAAGATAGGACTATGTGTTGGTAATAGTCCCCCTTAATACCCCCATAATACCTGTGATAGTCCCCCGTACAGTCGCGTAGTTAGCGATTCAACGTTTCTTTGGAGAAAATAAAAAAATGAGCAAGAGATACCAACACAAATTAACATTATGAATCATCTCTTCATCACAGCCAACTCCTGCTCATAGAGCCAATTTTCTAGATCAAACTGGGTCAAACAGATAAAGCCAAAGCCATCCCTTGGCGTTGGCTTGGCTGCTTTGCTCTGGCTTGGTCTTGGCCTGGCCTGGCTTGTCTGTCTTTGCAAAGACAGACAAGCCAGGCCAGGGCTTGGCATCAGGCTCAGACTTGGTATCAGGCTCAGACTTGGTATCAGGCTCAGGCTTGGCATTAGGCTCAGGCTTGGTATCAGGCTCAGGCTTGGCATCAGGCTCAGGCTTGGCATTAGGCTCAGACCTGGCATCAGGCTCAGGCTTGGCATCAGGCTCAGGCTTAGGCTACTTACAAGAGGAAGTCAACTGGGTGTGCTGATCTAGCTCTAATCTTTCTTGATACAGCTTTTTCTACTCTTTGAATGGAACCTTTTGCGTCATCTCCTCAGAAACGCCCGCTTCATAAAACATTTCCTGCCATTGTTCTCGAAGATTCTCCTCGTAGTGAATGATTCGAAAGGAGTCACGTAATTTGTTGAAACGACAATCCCTAAAGATCTCTTCTCTAAAGATCTCTAAAGTTCTCAAAAGTTCCCATAAAAAGTCTAGTTTTGTTAACTCTAGTGAGAAGTCTCTTAGTATTACTTCTCAC